ATTTACATTTAGATTAAAGAATATTTCATTCCCATCAATCTGCAGTGCAAGACCACTGTGTGCATGGCTTTGCCCGTATGCAGACACAACTGTTCATAGCATCTTTGTATTCTCACACGGATATGTACTTCCACATGCATGGAAATCAGCCCAAGGTGAGCTCTCAAATATACTTATATGTGAAGTGCACACACAAAGGTAAGCCACACACAACATTTTAAACTCTCAAGCACACATAGAAACAAATCCAAGTCTTTATCAACACACATATTAATCTTAACCAAACTGCTCACACATGTGTATGTGTTATGTGTGTACACACATAATCAGAGCCACTTGTAGATGGTAGTGTCGAGTGAAATATGTCGACTCAATAAATTGAATGTTGCTTTGAAAATGAGTTTCAATGTTCCTCAAAAGAAGCAGTTTTGAACTCTTAAAAAAACATAATTAGAAAAAAAACTCTCAGTGGAGCTCAAATCGCGTTGATATAAATGACATAGAAATCTTTTTTGTAACACTTTCATTCATCTTTCCACAGACTCACTCTAATTTCTCGCATGGTCGTTTCACAGTGATGCCATGGTGGGTCGGCGGAGGAAGCACCACTTGTGTCCCTCACAAAGACACTCCATGGGCACATGAACACATTTATTATTCACACACACACAAACTTATCCTTTTTCTGGATCATAATACATTCAGAACCAATCTCATTCACTGCGCATGAAGACAGCAATAAGTGCCCACACCTAACTGTAATATTTCAAAGCTTTATAAGGAGAGAGGAAAATGACCCAGGGGCAGCAACTGGGGAAAACAGATACCACCAAGATTTTTCCTTCATTCCTCTCTTTTCTCTCTCTCTCTCTCTCTCTCTCTCTCTCTCTTTCTCTCTCTCCCTGACTGTGTCTGACTCCCACTCCCCACCCACCCAAACCCCTCCTTCCCCTCTGTATTACTGCATCATTTCCAACAGTAATGAGTGCACCAGGAGCAGGGAGAGAGCAGGGAAGAGGGGAGGTACTTCAGGGAATTACAGTGTTTAAAATATACACAACAGTTTTCCTCTGGTGAATGATCAGAGCAAATAACACCCCCCTTCCCTTCGCAGACACCCCGGCAAACCAGCAGGTACCGAGGCAGCGCATCGCACAGCAGCATATCGTGCGTTATCAGATTTCTGACTCGATTACAGCATAATTAACAAAGGAGGTCATTTTTCTCCAATCAGCATCAAGTAGTCTCAAGTGTTGGTGCCACAGCCTTTTGCATTACCAGATCGTCCAGGCGAGACTCTTTGGCACTCAGAATCATAGAAAATACATTATCTACCAATGCTTAAGTGTGTTAACCATTAACTAGAGCATTTGTCAGTGATAGTATGGAGGTAATTTCCTGTGTGAAATTGGTTTCCCGTCTCTTGTGAGAAAGAAGTGAACGGCTACTCTGTGGAGTGGTTTCGGAAAAGCACACAGTTTGTTTCTGTCAGACTGACGCCTGACAAGGTGCACATACAAGCATCTGCGGGCTCTCACATATGTGCGTGTTGTTTCTTGTGGTACACAGGAGGTCGTTTTGATTTAATCTGTGAAGGTTTAAGCCAGTGGCTGAGGAGTGAAATTATACCAACAGCTTGATATCATAGTGGTCAGACTGTGGAGCAGTTGGGTTTCAGCAAACCGATGATGCTGTAACATGGAAACAACCACACACTAACAAAAGTGCAGACACACACAGTTCATCCGAAGATTTACACTGAGCTACCAAAAGAAAAAAGCAATTTGGTGCAGATAAAATCACTGGAAACTGCACTCCAATGTTATAACACCAGTATGGTTGTAGGACTAATTGTAAAACAAGCACAATATTATATTGTATTTCAGTGGACTTTTCACCAACATAACCAATAAATTGGAGCTCAAGACTTGAGCAAAAGGCGTCAGTTTAAGATAACACAGTTCTTTTGCTACACATAACCGTATGGCTGTGGTGTCAGAACACAGCAGGTGAAAGTCAGATCAAACTTTGAGTGGCAAAAAAGTGTAACAAAAAAATTAAAAAGGTGCTTAATATGAAACACAAATGAAGGTTTCGCTTAAAGTCCTGACATCATATCATCACCATCTATGTGAACCTAGTCATTGCTTAACTTAGAGGCAAAGATTGTTTTTCCAAAGCTGAACAAAACCAAAACAGTGATTTAAATAAGCCTCCTAAGATCTGTAGCTTGTCTGACTATCCATTAGACGTTTCTTTCTCAGCCTCAGAATATACATACATATGCTAGAAAGACATTTCACAGGTTAAATCCCTGGCTTATACATTGAATTACTAACCTTGCCTTTGTGTTTACACATGAGAAGGAAAAGTCTTGCCTAAGAATGCAAATCAATGGAATATGTTCCTTGACAACTTCACAAACTGCAATAAGTCTGTGATGAAAATGTAAACACAAAAGGGCAATAACCCTGTTATTTTCCAACACTGCAGTCTCTGTTCTGGGAAATCCACAGATTGCTTATTGTTTATGAGCTGAGAAAACCAGAAGAGTTTAGAGCCTTATGAAGGTTTGCTTTTCAAATGAATCCATCGGCTTTGATAAAGCTTAGCCTGAGAAGGAGAGGCATATTTAAGCCTTAACTTTGTCTGAAAAATTCAAATCCAAATAAAGCTAATGTGATTGGGGTCATTTTAGGTGTCTATAGTTTACACAACGTTCCCCAAGGACAACACCACTAAAACTTCTGTATTATGGCACAACACAAAGATGCGAATATATAGTACTAGAAAAATGTGTATTACACAGATAGAAATCCACAATTTTGCTCCAAATCGCTTTGTCCATTTGAGAGTTGGGATATGGCAGCAGAGGGAACAAAGAAAATAACAGTAATATCTGAGTCCAGCAATGTCCTTGAGCTCCTACCCGGTAATCCTCACATGCACCCAGGACAGCTGGGAGATATAATCCCCCCAACAAGTCCTGAGTTTATCCGGGGGCCTCCAAACAGCAGGTTATTTTCCAGCTAACTTCTGAGGGGAAGCATCCATGAGAGGTCTCTTTATCAGGTATGTGATAAAAAAAAACATGGGTTTACCAATTACAAAAAGATTAAAAGGGGGGGAAAAAAGGTTTCGGTAGACTGATATGGTTTTCCAGATGGGACTTCATATTCAATAGGATGGGACTTTACTTTTATCCACTTGACAAAATGGGAATTCGAAAGGCCAAATTTTAATCTCAAAGAAAGATCTACTTTTATGTTTCAAAGGGTGGATTTAATAAAGTCAAAGTCAAGCTCTGCATCGTGACTAAAAAAGACCAAGAAGGGTGGTCAGGTTATTGTGTGGTTAGGTTATTATCCTTTGCCTTTTGTTCAAACTCAAAGGGGACTATATCTATCAATCTTTGAAGCTTTTTCTATTGGCTATGACAGCAGATTACTGTCTATGGTCTCCTAACAAAACACTTAAGGTGTTCATATGGTGTCAGAAGACAATGCATGAAAAGCATCCTTTTGGTTAATCTGACAAGGAGCTGTATCTGTATTCTCGCATGTAGAGCATACAGGGAAACAAGCATGCCATCACACACTCTTTCCTTCATAATAGATCAAAACGGAGATGCAAGGCTGCTTTGAGGCTGCTGCATGATGCAGGCGTCTACAAAGGGGCTACGCTGTGAGAGCGCTGGGAAGTGACAGGAGGCCAGCCTCAAGGACTGGACAGAAAGTTGCTACAGAGAAGGACATTCAGTAAAGGATAGCCTGAATAGGCTAAGCAACAGTTTGACAGACTTGTAGGTAACTGCTGAGAGTGACAGGTATGTCTGTAAGTGAAGCCAAGGTACAAAGCGCATAGGCATTTCAAAGGTGTAAGGAATGCTGCAAACATTTTAACAGGAACAAATAAAATGCAAAGTGGACTTTTTTGTTGTTGACTGAAATAAGGAAAAAAGGAAAAAACAGAGGGTTTTCTGACAGATCCCATTCAGTGCAGGAGAAGTGCACTCACAGCAAGGATTTTTGTTTGGATTCTGACACTGGTGGCAGATATTTAAAAAAAAAGAAGCCTAAAGCTGAATTGATGGCTCCTCTAAATCTACAGACTGCTGAAAGTTGGAGGATAAGTAGTCTATCACAGCCTGACATTTTCGTTGAGATGCATTGCAGTTTCCCAGCATGTAACAACTGCCCCGGAGTCATGTTTCACCAACTTAGAGGGAATAAAAAACACTAACAAAGAGGACTTCTTCCCCACTCAGTCACATCCCTGCCCCTCCGTGTCATTCATTTACACCTAAAAGCCAGAGCTGTGTGAAGCGTTCGCTGCTGATGCTGAAGAAAAAAGGCGCCCTGGTCCTGGGCTGAATAAGCACGATGTGCCGTGCACTCACTGTTCCCAGTTTCTTCCCAGTTTCAGCACCGCGTTGGGGAACAGCTCCACACCGACCGGGGCTCGGATGCAGCTGGTTCCGGGCAGCTTGTTGACGTTGACGGGCGCAGTTTGACTGGCACCATCAGAACGATGCGCGTTTACTTTGAAGATTCCCCAACGAGACTGAGACGGGTAGCTCGGGCTTGAGGAAGAACGAAAAGACATAAAGAGCCAAAGAAGGCACAAACGTGGTGTGGACATCTTCAAAGCAGTGAGTCACAATTTGCGAATTTTAAGTTGAGTTATACTTCGTCGATGTGCGCACATGAGAAAATTAGGGGGGAAACCTAAGAGATTAAAAGAGACTGACGAGTTCGAGTGTGATCAGTGGGAGGTGTGTGCACTTTAATTCGGAGTTACTCAGGCACAGCGTGGATTGTGGAGTGATCCTCCTATCCCAGATCCACGCGCGTGGTCGGTTTTGCATATTATCCAGCAAACAGAAAATCGGTCCAGTGCTGCTTTCGAGAAGAGATGCACACACACACACACACACACACACATCCACAGAGAGAGAGAGGGGTGGGGGAGAGGAATAGAGTGTGTGTTTTTGAGAAAGAATGAGCCACTTCACCCTGGCTGCGCTGGAGCTCGATAATAACTACAGGACGCTCCGGATGGATTTACCGTCCCTCCCACCTCGCAGCGCACAATTTCCCTCACAAGACAGGTGATGGCAAAACTGCTGCCGTTCAGTAGAGAGCAGGGTCAGATATTTCCCCCCTTTTCTTTCCTGAGTGGGCTTGAAGGGAAGGTGCACCTGCGTTAGTCTCCTTTCCCCCTCTTTTCTGTTCTAGGGAACTGAAATTTGCCCGGTGCTGCTTGCTTGGCTGACACTCGACCGTATACTTTACAGACTGGAGCAGTGGACTGAGCACAGAGGAAGAGGGGAGGGGGTGAACAGGAATGTGTGTGAGTGTGTTTGTTGGTGTGTGTGAGGCAGAGTCTGGATGGATCCATCGCTTGCTCTGGCACTCCACAGGCGCTCCTCCATTTATTTAATCTTGGCCGACGACAGCATGCCAAACGCAGACTCCAGCGACAGAGCTCGGTTAGTATAACACCCCTCAGTCCCCTCAGTCTGTTCTCGCTCCATGTCTCTTTTCTGTCTTCTGCTTCCACTTCTTCCCACACTCAGATGCACACAGACATCACAGGAGCAGGTACCCCACGGAGCATTCACCATCTCGTGTATTTTTTTCCCTTGCGCAGGCAGAGACTTTCAAACAGGGGACAGGAGTGAGACGTCCTCTGACTGCGTACCCCAACAGCACCGACAGACAGGACCAGTGTGTACAAAAAGCCGCTTTATGGGCCCCAAACCTCGTGAGCCCCCCGGGATGGCGTGCAGCGCGTGTTACTACCTAGTTATCAGCTCCACTCACTTAAGCAACGGACACTTTCGGCGCGTCAAAGGGGTCTTCAGGGGACCGCTGCGTCCAACCGCAAGCAGTGACTCACCGGTAGGCCAAAACATAGATCTCAAATCAATTCTGTGTTTTAGAGTAAGTAAGAAAATGTATGTGTGTGTATAGAGTTTTTGTTCTTGGAACAACCTGTTTGACTTCTGTGGTTTACAAGACTTGTCTAAGAGAGGAAGTTTACCTCACTTCACTGAGGACCTGTAAGGTTTAAACATCAGGGCTAAATTGGGAAATGAGCTCTAACAGATATATTTTCAAGTATTTTTAAGATATTGTTAAATATGTGTGTGCAGAAGCTAACTTGGAGAGATTAAAAAAGAAAATATGAGCCAATTAGAAGCAGTCGCACTCTGGGGAAGTGAACATTTTTTGTCAAATATTTCATTATTTTTTATGCCTGCACCATAGATTTCTTTTTTCTCCTATACCCAAGAGAGAATATGTGAATCGTTTTAAAAGATGGGAAAAGTGCATCCAACCAAGAAGCCATTGTCCCTTTAATGTCTCCCTCTTTCCCCTTGAGAATTAAGTTAAACTACATTATCTCCTAGAGATGAGTTGAACACACAAAAGTAGGCCTAATTACCCGAAGTCTATAGTTTCAGTGTGTGTAAATGTGAAAAAGATTCAAAGAAGTGGGGGGAGTTTTTTTTCTATGCATCATTTCATCCTCAAAACTGTAACTTTGCAAGCAATCCTTCAATAAGTTCATGTATTGGTTGTGTTAATGTGGGAGTGCATGTGTGTGTGCTCTTGAAGAGCTGAAGACAGCAAGTGTAAAAAACACAGCGTTAAAATCAGAGAAAAAACTAAATAGCAGAGCAACGGAGGAAATGACATGTAAACATCTACGAGATATTCTGGATTGTGTGAAATTGGGTGCTGTGTATATTTGTGCGTGCATGTTTTTGATCCAGGAGTTGCTTGGAGGGTCTCTGGTAATCACACATTATTCATGAGCTCTTAATGTGAGATGAGACAAACTGGCGGAGCTGATGACAAGTTTGATGAGAAAAGAGGAAAGGAGCAGCTGGTACGTGTGTATACGTGTGTGCGCCTGTTTGTGTGTGTGTTCATACACAAGTCATTATCAGTCTGTCATGTTCGGCCCGCGTTCACAGTGTGATGGAAATGAGCGCACAGTGCTGAGCACAGACAGGGACAGACTGGCAGAGCCACCGCAATGACTCACATTCACAAACACCTTTGCAAACTCTCAAATGTACACACACAAATCTTTTCCAGCTAACCTCAGTCTCGTGTTCAGGATGCGGAATGCACAGGTCAAGTCTGCCTGTGTGCAATTGGATCCCTCCCTTTTGAATTCGATCATTTCCATCACCTGGTTTGGAGCCTTTCATCTTGCTGAAACATCAAAAGATGACTCTGTGTTGCTCCTGCAACAGTTCTAAACTCCTTTCTGCTTAATTTCTCTGAGAGACTCAAATGTGGAAGCATTTGAAGCTCCTGAGCCAGTCTAAATTTAGAGGTGATTGCGTTTTTTTTTTTTTTTTGCAGTCAGCAGTTCAAAATTAGCTTGTTTATTTCTTTCTTTTCTGTATTAATGTGTTTTTTTCAACATCCTTAGTTCAACATTAAAAAAATTTCCACATAAAAAATAAACACACATTTTGTCACATTAAACAAAACGATGTACTATGTATACCGAAATCTAAAAAGCTACAGGTCTGTCAATAGCAACTAAAAGAGATATTCTACTGAATCCTCAGTGTAGTTTATATGTTCATTTTATAGGATTAGTCACTTAATTAACTTTTTTTTATGGCCAGATATGTAATCTGCGGCTGTTGATGTTGATAATATTTTTTTTTTTTTACTTTGTTGATTTACTTGGAAACTCATTAGCTTTGGATGTTGGTTTGAGAAAAGAAGCAATATACAGAGCCTCTGTTTACTCTGGGAAAATTCAATTTGGCATTTTTGTCCTACTATCAAAAATGTTCTTTATATACAAACCAGTTAAGGAATTAATCAAAGACGTGAAGCATGCTAAAATCAATACCTGCACACCTAATAAAACGCTTGGTAGTTCTTTTTGTTGCTCTTGTTTAGTTTTGTCTTGATTGGATATTGGCTGATTCTAATGAAGAAAACATTCACATACACATATATGTAAAATATGTAGTTGAAGTCAGTTATATTTCACTGAGAAAAGCTTGGTATATTTCAATGAAAAATCTCAAAACTAAAAAGTAAATGGAAACTTGTCTTTCTGACTTAAGACTTTTTGATGTAGGACAAGCAGAGATATTGTTCATAACATGAGCCTCGTTCCACTGAGACAGTGGGTGAGCATGTTATGTCTCACAAATATAAAACTCATGCCTTTAAAAGGAATCCAGTCGTAATCACTTGTATTGACACCTTTCTGCTTTTCTACTGTTCTATGGCTAAATGTTTTCACTGTAAACGTTTGATAGAATCTGGTGAAATTGATTTTGCACAGTTAGGTATCTTTACAGTTGGAACGAAAATTGACTTTACCATTTTAGAATAATCAAAAAGAAGAAACACCGTTAAAAAACAGTGAAGTAAAAACAAATGGAGGAGCACAGTCAAAAAGATTCTCTTTCAGCCAGAACAATAGATTCAATTACTGATTTTCCTGAAGATTGCTTGAAAAAAAGGAAAAAAATGGTAAACTCTTGCTAGCATATGAGCCTTACAGGTACAACACCAGTTTGAATTTGGTCTATATGATGCTGCATGTGGTCCTCACCTATGATGTCAATCTTTTTTTTTTACACCTAAGGCCATGTGAAGGCTAATGTAGAAAAATCTAGACGTTTAAGGCTTTCCGCTCCTGTAAAATGTTGGCTAAGTGCACATGGAGGACTGGAAAAGGAAGCAATAAAAAAATGTACTTTCAGATTTGTCAATATTAGTTCTGACAGTCCAGGATTTATGCACCCGTCACCATGATAAACAGTCTGTGCTTCTTGTCAAGCAGTTTAAAAATGACCCCTTGTGTTAGGTGAAGTCAAGAGTGAGTTTCACATTTCCTTTCAAGGCGGTTAAACATGCTGAGCAGCTTCTTTTGCTGCCGTCCAACCCATTGTACGGCAGCCAGCGCAACAGCTATAGATGCTCTTTGATTTAGCTTAGATCAGTGGAGTACAAAGGATTTCACAGCTTGGATTTGTCAAGGGTAACTTCTTGTGTCTTCACTTTGATAATGTAATGCAGCATTAAAAAACCACTGGGCAAGAGTGGGCAGTACAGAACATCCACCTTGACAGGCAACTGCCCTCCTCCATAATAAGTCTGCTCCTGTATGTTACCGGTATTTTGTTCTATTGTTCGGATGGCTTCCCAGGGATGTTTTGTGCTTTTGTATATGACAGATTTTTTTCACCTATTACTCTATCACCTATTATTACTAGCTTTAAGGTTATTTTTGGATATGTGTTCCGATCTGGATGCATATTGGTATTAAAACATCACTGGTGAGTCATTCTTCAAACTCTCATTAACACTTCAAAGGTCTTTTTGTTCTTGGTGTCAGCATTAAAGAAACACAGTAGGAGAGATGCAGAAAGAAAAAACATAATCTTTTGCCATTCAAAGATGTGTTGCATATGTTAGAAAAAAACTCAGCTAATGCACAGGTTCCTATTTCCTGTTGCATTTTTCTCCTTATTCCCTTTTCGACTGAATGAAAATACACTTACGCCATCTCAAAAAAGGACCAGCGGTTAAACTGCAGATGCTGCAGATCATTTTCAGACCCAGCTGTGACTGGTGCAGATAAAGAGATAAACCTGGGCTTGGCAGTTCATTTTTCATCAAATATGCAGCTCTCTTAGGTTAAGGAGTGGATTCATCTGCAGGATAAGTAAAAAAAAAACACATTAAGCTGTTGAAGTGCTCTCAATCTGACAGGAGCACCAAACTAAAAATAAAAGGAATCCTGACCAATTTATTTCCAGTGTGTGCATTGGACAGCAGTTCAATCCTAGTCTCGCTTTGTTACACCTGTTTCGACAGTCCTGCCAGAAACCGTTTTCCTCAAAAAGTCCTGCTCACCGATGAACATTGAATATTTGTCCACCATTTACCCTTAACTGTAGAGGAAATTATTGCCACCTCCTCAGCTGTAGGGACAACAGTAGCAGATATCAAATATAAAGAGCTGGATTATACCAGACCGCACCGGACTGGACTATTTGTAGCTCTACAACATGAACAGGACAAGGACACTACAAGTCTTTACTGTGTGCTTAATGGGACTGTGACAGACAATCCAAGAAGTCAACTCTAAGCCAAATGCACAAGTGAGCATAAAATGTGGTATGTAACAAGGAGATGTTTATCCCCCTCTGGTGTTCTACATAGGCCTGAATCCTCTTAGACACATCATCACACAGCGTGGCCACACAGCCACACCCTTTATTGCTTTTGTTTGCAGTCATATTTGGTTGGGTCTTGGGAAAAAAAAGAACTGCTAAAACACAATTAAATGGATAGTATATACTGTACAGGTTTGGCAGCCAAATCTTTATATCACTCCCTTCTGAATGAATGAATGTTCACGACAAACGTAAGTGTTGCTGCCGCTATTTGAAAGAACTGTGCTATCCTTACAATCAAGTATTCAGGTCCAACGACAGATGGGAAATTAGCGTGACTATTTTGTACTTGCAACTGTCATAAAGAGAGACATTTGTTACTTGCCAACACTATCACAGTTTTGAAACATACTGCTTATTTTGGATGTGAGGAAGATCATTTCTCAGATTTCCATTAAACCCGCTTGGAACATTGTAATGTAGCACAAAGCCCGTTTGTATCAGGCAACCTGGAGATACTTTTTTTCCTTCCATTGCCACACCTTCAACCCTCTGTACCACCACCACAATATAGTTAGACTTTAACCCTCTATGCATGCATACTTAGCTGCTCATTCACTGCATACCACTGTGATGTAGATTTAACTGGAGCTGGAGAAAACAGATGAATGAAAGCAGCCATGTAGGACCGGTCAAACTGTGTGCAAATCGGCTGCTCTGTGTGTGTGTGTGTGTGTGTGACATTGAATCTGAACCCTTGTATTTTCATTGATTTAGGAAGCAGCTGAGCAATGTTTATGTAAATGAGGTGGCATTTAAATGTATGCCCAGAACAATTAACTTGGACAAACTATTTAGCAGAACAAAGGCTCTGCCGAGTCATGTAGTTAGCTACAAATATTGAACCATCATGAGGGGACAGAGGAGCGATGAGCCAAGTCGATGGCCATTTGACATTTTTAGAAGGGATGCAAGAGTATTGCCCACAAATCTGAACTGAGTACTTTTAATCATGATAATAGGAGATCCAGGATCTGTTTAAGAATTCTTGGAGTAGATGATCAGCAAGAACTTGACACTCATTAACCTTTTAAAATGTCAGGAAAAAAAAGTTAATTGCAAAGTGTCAAGCTAAAATGCACAAATGTTTACATTAACAGCTTAAAGGGGGCCGTTTGTTTTTCTGAGTGATGTTGTGTTACTGTTCCACGCTCGAAACCTGTAATGCTGCAGTCGCTTACATTCATAAAGTCTAATGTTAATGCACACACACACTCACCAACTCAGCCAAAAAGGCCCTTGAGGAGCAGTTTGTGAGGTGGGCAGGTGAGTGCTGCTGAATGCTAAAGTCCTGTGTGACTGGACGGTTCCTGCTGACCGCTGCAAAGTGCTCCCACTGATCACCGCTAACGTGCTCCATCACAGTTTACACTCGACTCTCTGGAGAAAACGTGTGATTAAGTGTCTGTTGGGGATAAAGGTGGATAATTTGGACAGATGGGTGAGACAGGATAAAGAGAAAGGGGGGGAGAGGGGGAGAATGAGACATTCGGCATCAATTTAACACTCTCTCAAGCTTTTATTGACATTTCATTTAGCTAATGAATTCATTAGTGCTTCATAGCATAATAACCTCTACTTGAAAATCTAAAAGGTTCCCCAGAGGAGTGGGGCTGTCTGTGCTGTGCTGCTTTACTATTTTCTGACTTTTACAAACTCTATACTCAGCTTTCTTTGCTCTCCTCCTTTATATTAGCATATTTTTCTTCTTTTTAGCAAGTTTCTTGTCTGTTTTTGTGCTTCATTGCATAACTTGTGAGTGAAGTCGCTGTTTGAGGTGATATAACCTGCCACCTCTCAGCAACAACACAGCATGCCCTCGGGAATGCGGAAAGAGTGAGATGCGATATCTATGAACAGATTCCTCTTTGCTACGTTGTCTTTGTTATGCTTTGTTATGCATGCTCGTGAGACAGAAGAATTTTCCTTCAGTTTACTGATGATTCAATTATTATTTATTTGTGACTCCGTTGTTTTGCAAACAAATTACCTACCTCTAAAAGTCGTGACAATATACCTTATAGGGAAAAATACTTTTGAGTATTTCTTTCTAATATTAGTCATCTTGTGCACTTTTAAGTCCCAGATGATTTAACACTTTTGATTGATTTGACTGTTGTTGAAGTGATGTGTTGCAGGTGTTGCCATATGAAAAGTCTGTGTCACCAGTTTAACGTAGCCAGAAAGTAGAGTCTGGACTGTGAATTCTCAGTTCCTTTTTACATGCTCTGCTTTTATGTCTAATGGTATGAGGATGTCTGCAGGACTAAGCAGACTTGTGAGAACTGTGCCTGTGTGTGTATGGACACTGGAGACTGGGTTACATCTAGCAAATGAGGATAACGTTGAAAGTTACATGGTTAGGACTGGAAGACATTCTTTGTACTATGGGACATTATCCCTCTCTGTCTCTTTATATATATATATACTATAATGTGTACAACTGCTTTATATATCTTGAATTGCACCGGAGGGTCTTTGAACCCAATTTAATTGGGTGCCATGTGGACACGTCACATACTCTTACAAATATGAGAGGTCCCAGCTCTGAATTAGTTGTGGGAGGAGTAGAGTGCAGTTGATTGCAGTAGCCATGCAGCCAGATTGGGGGAGACAGTACCAGTAACAGTGGGTGTATAGCAGAAACTAAGCAATGCTGTGATGTGGAATGGTTAGAAATAGAAAAATACCACTCGACCAAGTGAAGGACGAGAAACCTCAAAATATTTATGAATAAAAATTATTTTAAAAAATACCCACTTTTGCTTGTAGTGAACAGATTCAAAACCTGCTTTCGCTGCAGAATATGGCTCTCCTGACTCCTCATGAGAAAAGAACAAATTCAGTGTGGTATCGTGTGTTAAAAACCAACAGTCACAAAGCAATAGAAACTACCCAACCTCGACAGAGAGGTGCAGAGCAGCTACTCCTCATTCTGCTAGGTGAAATGGCTTTTTTGCAAAGAGTGAAGCATTGATACAAAGATATACAAAAGACATGGTTCTTCACCAGAGAGCTATCACACACCCAGCATAATTATAAAGATATAAAGTATATATACATACAGTACATATTGTACATGCAAACATGTACATACATATGTTGAAAGTTACATGCATATGTATATATAGGCAACTTTCAGTCATGTTTTATTTATTTATTTATTTATTCATTTATTAATTAATTAATTAATTTATTTATTTATTTATTTATTTATTTATTTATTTATTTATTTATTTATTTATTTATTTATTTATTTATTTATTTATTCATTTGTGGTTGTTGACCTCCATATCAGTGCATTGCTGAGATTCCTGTCAGTTTGATTGTCTGTTCCTACAAATTGGGGACATGCCAACCACCATCTACACTAATCACAGATGAGTACCTCAAACATCCCTCTTCAGCTAATCCTCACTAACCTTGTAAAGTGCATATTCTGGCATCAGATGCATGTGGTGAATGACACACAAGTTAACAAAGGCTCACACATGCAATCAAAAACACAGCAGATGGCCAAGCTCTCATTTTGTATATTACCTCAGGACAGATGTTTGTCTGTGTGGTCATTAGTGATCGCAGAATCAGATAATCACCTAGAGACCCACCAGCACATAAACACACTCTCACATACAATTAGTGAGTGTTTGGTAATTACAGATGCTTCATGAACCATCTGGAGCAACAGTTCAGAGAAAATTTTAAAAAAACATTCAAAATCAAACATACAAAATCCTTAAATTATATTTAGCTGATGTTCTGAGGAACTTGTTACCGAATCGAATAGTGAGGTAAGAAATGAATAGACGAACAGTATTTATTTCCCATTTAGAACGTCATGTCTCATTCAGGGTTTGTGCTTATTCTCTTGCTGTGATTTTCCCTGAACATTAAATTCTGCCTCCTTTCTGTCTGCCCTTCTTATTTAATCTTTTTTACACCATCCTTCCCCACTACCTCTGGTCTCTTCTCCCATCTGTTTCTCCAGCCAAAACGTTTGCTCTTACCTCCCCTCCCTGACACCTTTCGCTATACCCCCCTCCTATTGCTTTTCATCTCATTTTTGAAGCCCATTCATTTTTTAGCAGGTCAAAGGTTCTGCTGTTTAGGCCTTTGAATCTTCTGTGCGAGCGTGCGTGTGTGTGTGTGTTGGTGTGCATATCTGTGTGCAGTATACCTGTATGGGTGTTTTCGTGTGAGTGATGGGACTAATATTGCAGCAGCAATATTGCTGAAAAATCCTTGAAGGAGAAGTAGAGAAGTCAGAATGTGTTTTATTTGATGGTCAGCGTTTCTGCTCTTTGGTAGCCTCCATTTTACTCCTTAATTCTTTTACATTTTCAGCTGTTCTGTCTTGATGAACGTTTTTATCTTAAAACAAATTTACTGTAGATGTTCAGTTAAAGCTCCATTACATCAAGCCCATACTTTAATTTGTGCCATCGTGCAGGTGTGTGTGTAACACAAGTTTGCACGTGTGCTCGGATGCCTGTGTATGTATCCACTGCTGACATGCAGGCCAGGGTTAAGAGCAGCTCAGAGAAATGTGTTAGCTCTTCTCTGGAGGAGATATGACTCACGGAAAGTGAGGCTGTGAACCAGCACCTTCTGCTTAAGCAGAAGCCCAGAAATTACTCCCAGCCTAACAGAAGCCAAGGGAGCCCTTCTGAATGAAGCAACTTGGATTTCATTCTCTGCTTGATTTCCACGTAATTTTTCCTTCCACATTTCATGTTCACAAGGACTATTTTTAAAAAAATAAGTGTGACTGGAAGAAGTGAAACAGACACGTTGCATTTATAGATCAAAGTAGCGCTGGAGATCTCTTCGTTGACATAAGATCAAGGCTTTGGGCTGCCGTACCTCGCACAGAATAAGCTGTTATTGTAAGTACTGCTCCGTGGGGTGCTCCATCACGCTCACAAAGATTGCTTGAATTGATAGCCTGAACTGATGGAACAGAGATGCAATTATCTAAACTTACATAAGCCATGTATTAATTGGTTTTGTATTTAGCTCTCAGTTCCATATGGTCTGTGATGGTACAAGGAATCCCTAACTGAAGTGTGTGTATACTGTATACACCTGTACATATATCGATATATATGTTTATGAACACACAAAAACGCACGTATATCATGAAATACACGTTAAATTATTTAATTTACATTGTAATGTTAAAGGTTGTTTTATGATTGCATTTTATGTACACAAATTTTGACATCTTACATGATTTCATCTGACTTATTTAGTTTAATTCCCATTTTGCTGCCTCATCCTTGCAGCTTCTGCCCTTCATCACCAGCAGCTTTCCACCGACCTCGACGGGTGAAAGAATTTCACTCACCACTGCAACCAAATTAGGAAACACATTTACAGGGCCTGACTGGATCAGTGGTTAGCCACCAAATGTCGATCATATTATTTAATAAAGATTAATAAACCTTTACACATCAGTTGTCTTATGCAAGAAATTAAGGTTTGAATTAAAAATTTCACATTATGGGGTGAATGGGGCTTTTTCATGAGTGAAAAAATGGTTCTGAGAAAAAATGACAGAAATTTGTTTTCAGACATCAAAGTGATCTCATAAGAGCAATAATATGTACATCACTGTGACTTCAGAGCATACACTACAAGCCCCAGTTAGAGACACAGATTAGCTGTTATGATGATTTGATAATGAAAATAAATCATTTTCTATTAATATCTGCTCTCAAGTTACAGCTAGTAAACTTTCATGGCCTCACTTTCCATGTGATATCAACACTGGATCACACAAAGTCATGCGTTTATAATATAACTGGAGGCATTTCTGGATTTCACTACAGAGGGGTTGGTGGTGCTGATATGCAGTCACAACACAGAAGTGAGGCAACAAACACACAAGGATCTCGTTTGACAGCTGTTGAGAGAATCATTTCAGTCTGTTGATTAATTTAAGTGAAACCAATTCAGAAACATCCTCGGCACAGAAAATGAAAACAAGTTTTTATGTTATTTGAACAGTGTTATCTATTTAAAACACACCCAAGTCAGAGAAAATTCCAGCAAGAAAAAGCCACATTTAAAAAAAGGTTTATGTCATTTTAATATCCTATCCTGTCACGTGACACTAATTAATCAGTTAGCTCTTTTTATTGAGTGAATATGTTACTTTTCCATGTAATACTTACAAATACCCAAACATAACCATACAATCCACTATGATTGTAAGTCTTTTTTATTTTTTATCAGTGGATTCTGCCACACTGCTGACTTTCCATTTAATTCTTTGTTTCTTCCCTCATACTAGCCAACCTGAGTGAAAATAGGGTTTGAAAAATAAGTGTTACGGTAAAGAATTTAGGGGGGTTTAATGGCTATTACTGAACTTTTGCCTTTTTCAGTCTTGGATTAATGTAATTACTTATACCATTATTAACAAAGAAAAAAGAAAATCAAAACTCCATTAAAAAAACATTCAGCTTTAAAATAACATTGTGTATGTTTATGCTTGTGGTCTCTCATGGTACAGTGAGGCAAATAAGATCTACAAGGGCATTCTGATAGAAAAGGGTCGGTGCTGCATCAGTAGCAATGCATCAATTCATATAACACTTACCTCCAACAGCAGCGTGAGCTATGATGCAGACAGTAATAATTCATGCTGTTTCCTTCAACCAGTCGTCATATTAGATGTGTTGGAGAAAACAACCCACTGCAATTACTGTGAACAGCAGCATTCCTGTGTTAAGCAGATTGGAGATGCCAGGAGCTCAGCTTAGCTTAGTGCTCTGCAGAAATGTCCTGACTGTGTGCTGCCAGGATGACAGAATCACAGTGGTCTGCAAGCAGCCTCCAGCTACCAGCCACCGTGCCTGGGCCAACTCTTTTATACGGGAAGGGTGCCTGCTTGCTCTGTCTGTCTGTTTGTGTATGTATGTTTGGCTTGATTGCATTTCTGCATTTTCATACGACTCTGCTTCGTGGTCTTCGTTGCCTTGCTGTGAGGTATGTCCTTAACCTTGTAGTACAGGATTAGTCATAACATGGGTAAGAGAAGAGAGGAGAAGAGAACATAAGAGAAAACAAGAGAAACGAAGAGAAGGGGAAGATGGAAAATGCACCAAGATGAGAGGCCCTGTGTGTGGGTGGATTGTGTGTTAGTGCATGTGTGTCTGCATGCCATGGGTACTCATCAATTTCCCAAAGAATCTCCTCTTTTCCTCTTTTCTATAAAACCCAAAAGGCACTGGGAAAACCACAAACTCTGCACTTTAGTTTGCTCACCGTTGCTGTCTAACACTTGTCTCTTTGTTAGCAAAACATTTGCATGGACTGTTGGATAATCCAAAACTCATATGTCAGCTTGTAAAAAGAAGCTAATGTAGCGTGAGGTCGGGAGCACGTGGAACCTCCAGTCTTCTATGTGTGGCCTTGCTCGCGATGCAGTTGCTGAGAGCCAGTAACGGACAGGGGAAGTCACTTCTTAATTTCTGCGTCGACCATTCAGACTAACGTACCTTTTCCAGGCGACATGCTGTGCGTTGTCACTGTGCGGTTGGGGGAAACCTCTTGGAAGAACAATTGTGAGCCACATACTTTACGAGGAAGCCAAAAAAACAACAACAAAAAAACTTTGTGTGTACATGGACGTGTTTGTGTGCAAGCATGTGAAAACCAGCAGTGTGTGATTTATGTAAATGAGTGTCACCGGTCGAGGAGGAGGCAGAATTCCCAGGCCTGATGAGTGGCTTAATGATTCATCAGCCTTGCTGAGGCAGGCATCAATAATGGATGATAGAGTGGGTCATGCAGGATTGCTCGCCCCTTGATTAAAGTGCTCCACAGCTAAACGCCTCACTTCCTCTCTCTTCTCACCTATCTTCTGTAGGGATAAGTACAGAAATGTGTTGTACACGCACAGCGCTGCACACACACCTTCATGCGTGGCCACACTCGCGCATTTCCCCCCAACATCTGTCTTTACAACTAAATGTCAGCGCACCGCTCACATCCTAAATAAGCTGTCATTCATTCCTCATTTCTACGTTTCTGTAGTCCTAATCAAGTCATTGAAATAGGGAGGGATAACGAATAAAAAGAGAACAGAAGAAGGGGATAGAAGAAGATTTAAAGCATTGGAAAAAAGAGAAGAAAGCCACAAATGAATGCTTTGTCCTCTCTATGGAAATGGAAGCTTTCTCCTCTGAGATAAGGCAGGAACATAAATGTTCCTCTTCTTCCCTCCACACACAGAGAGAAAGAAGTTCTCACGCTGTGTCTAGCTTTAAGCTGTATGTGGGTGTTGGTGTGACAGGACAAATCTCTGTCTATTAGAAGACATAAACCTCTAAACCCAGAGATACACAGCCATACATACTAATGCCACCATACAGGGGGCTCGAGACGAGTGGGAATGATAGAGGACCCAGGGAAAGAAGAAAAATTTCAAAAGAGAAAACACAAGATGATGGAGAGGAGGATGTAAAAGGTGGAGGACTTCCCCGAAAAACACAGATTCACAAAGGAGCAAAACCAGCTCTAACAAACTTCACATAGTGAAATCAGTGAGTCTGTGCATGTGTGTCACCAAACAGTTAATTTTATCTTCTGAGGTACCATTAGTCATCCATGCAGTTGTACTGTAATGTGCGAGGAAAAAGATCACTCAGTCTTATTGGACACACTCATGTTATCCCCTGATAGCACAAATGAACCACACAGAGCGAACAAAGCGCACGCATACAAATGCTCACCCACACTGGAAAGCTTCAGAAGAATCTGTAATCATAAAAGCTTGAAAGCGGGCAATCATTCCTCAATTCACCGACATTAGCAACCCATGGTTCCCTCTCATCCCTCCTCGCCCCACATCGGTAGGTTTTCTGAGTTGCCGAGACTTAGCCAAGCAGAAAAAGTAGTGTGCAATCTTTGATTACATTAATCCTCCTCTCAGAATCTGTCACTGTGTGGACTGACTGGCATCATCTGCTTAACTTGTTTTTCACTCAAATCGGTGTCCTCACAAACTGACAGGTTACAGTTTTATCACTTCACCCAACAGACAGTCGCTTTGAAGCGGCCACTCAATTGCTTTCTTGGACAGACAGGAAGCTGACTGACAGCACATGAGCAAAGAGTATTTGATGTAAGTGTGATAACTTAACAGTGCTGTACATCCATATATATCAATGCAAGGTTTTCATTTGTGTCTGTAATTTAAATGTCAAGAATGAATGGTGCATACATTTTTATCTCTGCGAGTAATACCTGAGGTGACATTTAGTTTGAGAGAAGAGACCTGACAAGTGCTTTTAGTGCACCTGATATTAAATAGAAAAATGAGTGAAAATATAATAAAAGGCTATAATAAAAATATAGACCTGAGAGAAATGGGAGGTAGAGTAATGGGGTGGGTAGAGAGGGAAAATGGTTGATGACCAAATCCTACTAAACCGTCCATCCAGGGCAGCTCTTACATCATTTAACCCTGGAAATGAACCCCCTTACAATTCAAAGATTGCAAAAATGAAGTGTAAAGGTGAACAGGTCCCCCCATTAATCCCCAATCATACAGAGCATGGAAGTGGGAGTTATAGCTGTTAAAAGACACTGAAAAACAAAGAAATTACCACAGTCAGAAAGAATGCCTTCATTCAGCAGTCCAGCATTTTTGTGTTCTGCCTTTATTCCGGCCAGCAGAGATTCTATTGCAAAAATGCCTGGGAAGAAACAGATTGATCAGTTAGTGAAAATGATTTGAGATGTTTTCTGCTTTATTGTCTTAAAGCCATGCCTGGTAAAGGAATGTAGTTTGTTCTACACAAGCCAGAGGCTGAGCTCAAATTGTATTCAAGATGACACAAACACAGGGAGATGTAGCGTTGGGAGGTTGAGAGGTGGACGGATTTTAAATGTGGTACAGAATAGGCCAGATCAGTTCTACAGCCCATGAATAACTCAAAATAGCCCTGTTGAATGTGGAGGAGAGACAGAGAGCGACTGAGAGGGTGCAGGCAGGGAGGGGTGGATAGATCAGCACAGGGGCTCTTCTGGCCTTCTACCGTGTTGGACAGGGAATAAAATTTTGATTGCTTGCTGAGTGATCGTTTGGTTGGGCCTTGTGACTAATCATAGATTTATGACTTCAACAACAGAGTGGTGCAATTTGTCAACGCTCGTGGCCCTTTACTGTAGCCCCAAACAAAAGAAGTCAACTTATAGTGAGGTTTCTGCTACAATTCTGTCATTATTTTTGGATTTTTTTTTTAATGACAAGTTGCGATCTATTTGCTTAGAATGCTGCACTGCATTTTTCATTTCAGAGTTTTTCTGCATCTTTT